AAGTCGCAGAACTCCATCGAGTCGATACTGTCCGCCAAGAGTCCGCCCATTAGCGAGTACAGCGTCTATCCGAAACGGCATGTGCCCATGCCGCAGGCGGTCAAGCATGTGCCCAAGTATCCCAGCGACAGCGAGAGCATTGGCTCTGGCATCCTCGGCATTGGCACGGGCATCTACTCGCAGCAGGCCAGCCACATCTCGGGCAACCGGCACACGCAGCTCTTTCCCACGTTCGCGCCCAGCGTCCAGGGTCTGCGCAACACGCGCCGCTCCAGTCCACTGACGCTGCCATCGCCGCCGCCACAGCCACTGGCCACGGTGGCCCAGCATGACAGCAGCAGTGCCATTGGCATACCCACAGATCTGGACTACCCGCATCCGCAACAGCATCAGCATCATCATCATCAGCAGCAGCAGCAGCAGCAGCACATGAATCCCCATCCACTGCCCCATCCGCTGCCGCCGTACCTGGACTATGGCCACCCAAGCCATCCCAGTCATGCTCCGTATCCGTATATGGGCGGCGGGGGTGGTGTCATCTACGAGGGTGGCACCTTCCCGCGGAAGAAGGACAACCAGAGACTGCGCATACCGTCCAATCCGAGTGTTGCCAGCAAGAGCAGCAGCATGGTGAAGAACAGCTCGGGCTCCATCGACCATCACTATGTCACAAGCATGGCGCCGGCCTCGTCAGCCTCCTCCTCGGACCGGGCGCCCGTTTCGCTCATGAGCACGGCCATCCATGCCAGCTTTGGGGTGAGTGTGCCCGGTGGGGGAGCTGCAAATGGGGCTGGAGCTGGTGGCGGCGGCAGTGGCCGCGGCTCGCCAATGCCCCAGGTGCACGTGGAGGTGCTCAGCCATGGGGCTGGCAGCGGCAGCAAGCGCTGCTCCAATGTGCCCGCGGATTTTCTCTGCCCTGGAGACCTTAGAAGAGTCACCATCGACAAGCGCGACAAGTCGCTCGGTATCACCATTCAGTGCAACAACAACGGGGGCGGCATCTTTGTGTCGACCGTGGCTGACAAGAGTACCGCGATGCGTGCCGGTCTCCAGGTGGGCGATCAACTCTTGGAAGTGTGCGGCATCAATATGCGGGCGGCCACGCAGGAGATTGCGGCCAATGTGCTGCGCCAGTGCGGCGACTCCTTCACCATGCTCGTCCAGTACAATCCGGAGAGTAAGCAGATCGATGCAGCAGCCCCAATCGCATCCAAACTAATCTCCGGCTCTCTCCCTTTGCAGAGTTCCCTTCGATGGAGTACGAGATGGGTACGCACAATCTGGAACCAGAATCTCCCCTCAACCATTCGGGCTCGCCCACGCCGCGCAACTCGCCGCGTCCACCGGCCCGCAATGTGCTGGCTCCGCTGCCCCTGCAGCCGCTCACCCTGCTGCCATCGGCAGCGGCGTCGTCCGGTGGCTCGCGAGCACCGCTCTCCCATCAGTCCATCAAGGATCAGAGCTTCACCGACAGCCTGGAGAACCAGTCGGACATTAGCAGCAGCCAGGACATGCCCTCGTCGGCGGCCACCACCACCACGACCACCGCATCGGCCACCTCGACTGTGTACGATGAGGACCCCAAGCCGGCATTGCCGCCGCCTCCCGTCTCCGTTCCGGCAGAGAGTACGTAGAGCCACTCTATTCCTGTCTGACTAACCCAGCTCCTTGTCCATTACATGCCTTCGCAAGGGGCGCAGCAGCAGTAACCGTTTCGACTCAGGTACACACTCTAGCTCAGCCGTCGAGTGGGTTGGTTGGGCTTAGCCACAATCACAGTAAACAGCAATAGAATAGGCAAGGGACAAGAATAACGGACAAACAAGTAAGAGTGGGAAATGCACAGGGAATGGAACAGAACCGCGATCCTTGAATGAATACTTGCGGACGAAGTTTGTGAAGAGTTGTACACATTTTAGCTACGCGTAACTCTCGTATGCGATAGTCCTCCTGTGGTACCCAATATATTCCTAGACTGAGGGAAAACAGAATCAACTGTGAGCTCTTCAAAATATTCAACAGAAAGGCTTTCCAAACTAACAAAAATTTCTCGCTAACAGCCTTTCCGTATTGGCGCTGAAACTAATTTTGGATTCTTGTTTTTCCAGCTCTGCGGTACGTGACGCTGCACATGGACAAATCGAAGAACCTGGGCATCAAGCTGTTTGGCGGCAACAAGGTGGGCATTTATGTGCACGATGTGGCACCAGGTTCACCCTCGGATCATGCCGGCATACGCAAGGGCGATCAGATTCTGGAGTATAATGGCGTTGACCTAAGCGGAGTGACTGCCGAGCAGGCGGCCAATGAGATCTCCAAGCTGACGGACACCGTCACCATGCTGGTGCAGAACAAGCTACACAGTAAGCATCCTGCACACATCCTGTGCATCCTGTGTTTCCCGTATTAACTTGCATTTTATTATCCGCACAGCACTCAAGCAAATAAAAGACGAGCCGGGTGATTCGTTCTACATCCGCGTGGGGTTTGATCGGATCGGAGAGCTCAACGAGGACGATTTACGCTTTGTGAAGGATGAGGTGCTGTATGTGGACAACACGGTTTTCAATGGCACCTTTGGCCTGTGGAGAGCTTGGAAGCTGGACGCCATGGGGCATCGGAAAGAGTGCGGCATTATACCCAGTCAAATGAAGTGCGTACCAGCTTAAGGCTGCTTAATATCTTCCATATCTATGCGTATGTTCTATCCGTGTTGCCTTGCAGGGTGGAAGAGGAGCTGCGCTCGGGCGAGGTGGTCGACTGTGATACGGGAACCGCACGACGCGGCAGCACCTCGGCTCGGCGTTCGTTTTTTCGTCGCAAAAAGAACCAGCGCAGCTCGTCCCGCGACTCCACGGAGATTGCCAGCTTCAGCAATACGCAGCTCAGCTTCTTTCCGGACCTAGGCCTACTCAACGATGATGGCGGTGCCCTGAGCTATCAGCGTGTGGAGCTCTTGGACTGTAAGTGGTGCCAATCCCAATCCCCAAAGGTCATCTAATATCGCTGTTCTTGTCATGTAGCGCCCACACGTCGGCCCGTACTGATCATTGGACCGTTGTCCGAGTGCCTGATGGATCGCCTGACCATTGACTTTTCCAATCTGTTCAAACTGTGCGAAGTGACGGCCATGGACTGCTCGCAGGAGGCCATGGAGGAGGGTCTCAAGGAGAACATCTTCGTGGACTATCGCCGGCGGGGCAACAAGTTCGAGTGCACCACCGTGGAGGCCATCAGCAATGCCTGCAAGAATGTGAGTGGACCACATATGCTATTGAGTTTCGTAGCCTTTTCAATGTTAAGAGTTCTGCCTTTAGGATCGACGTCACTGCATCCTGGATGTGTCGATATCGGCCGTTGAGCGGCTTCAGCGTCTGCAAATCTATCCGATTGTCCTGCTGCTGCGCTTCAAGTCGGCCAAGCAAATACGCGAAATCCGTGATTTTGGCACTGACAAAATCTCGGCCAAGGCAGCCAAGGAGATGTACGAGCGGGCCATGAAGCTGGAGACTGACTACAAGCAGTACATATCAGGTGCGAATCGCAGCGTTTATTTCCACCCACCACCCTTGTGTGACCATTTTGTTTGTTTGTTTTTCGTTTGCCGTCAGCCGTCATACCTGGCGTGAGCATCAAGCACATGTGCACTCAGATCAAGGATGCCGTCGACAAGGAGCAGGACAAGCTGCTCTGGGTGCCCGTCTCGAGTGCCTGATGGCAGCAGCAGAATGGATTTCGCACATAGTTTCCTAGATTTAATTAATGCTAAGTGGTCCGAGCCTAGTATTTTGCAATGCGTATCAATATTATCAAGTTTTGTATTCGTTTCGTTCAACGCAGAGTATTCTATGGGCGTCCGTAGATTTTGCAAACGGCAGCAAGGATGTTGTTTGCATTTAGGGCGCGGTATTTCTACTTGTTTCATCGTATCCGTCAACTAATTTATGAACTATATCTGTAGCTGTAGCTGTAGCTGTAGTCAAGTATGTTCTATATGTTTTGTCTGCCTGTCTGTCTGTCTGTCTGTTATAATTCTCTGTAGCGAATTGTCCACAATTTATTATTATATATCAATATTTATATAACTGAAAGGAAGTCTGTAAGGCATCTAAACTACATACATATGTAATTGTTCTACTTTGTCTGTTTTGTATGCTATCAATCTACACTTTATTATTATGTATTATGTAAGTACATAAACCTTTAGATTTGATACACACACACACAGACACACACACCTATAAACCAATTTAGTGGCTTTAATTCCGTTCAACTGTTTAACTGTGTATATTAAATAGTTTCCAACTCTAATCTAATGTGAGATATATATATATATATATTTCGAGCTTTACTTACTTACCTGTCGTGTGTGCCTTTGCCTTTGAACCTGACAATCAGAACAATCGGCTGCCAGTTGTGCAACATTAAACGTTTTTTTATTCGATGAACAATATTATTGGATTAATGGATTGATTGATTGGGTGTTTAAAAACAAACAAAACAAACTACAAAAAAAAAGAGAGAACACTATCACTAGCCGTAGGTGGTAATCGGTTAAGCTGTAATGAAATGAAATGCTTGAAAAGAATATGCAATTTTTTCTACACATAAATACAATTTATATAAATCTAATTTATCATACCCATATGTATGCCTTAAAGATTACAAATTAAATATATATATATCAACGTATTAAATACATTAAAATCTATTTTATACATACGTAAGCATTCTACATATACATACATACATGCAATCTATATGGTATATACATACACACATACATATATGTATGATTGCGTACATTTTTGCAATAAATATTTTTCCAAAATGCCTTCGCTTTTTGCTTTACGCTCTAGATAATGTTATGGCCACTGTTTTGATATATATGCATTCCCAATCTGGATTATGGATTATGGTTAATGCTTAACTTAATCTGAGTAGATATTTATTATTATTACTATTATATTTTATACATAAGTAAATTAAATACCATCGGACACGGCACGTGGGCCGCGATATGTTCAAAAAGTATTTCAAGGTACATTCGCTCTTCAAAGTGTTGGCTAAATCGGGCACTATGTCTGCCTATATTTACAATGACATAGTGCCCACGCTTAAACGATAATCTAAATGCTATGATTATGCTATTCAAATGGGTGCTATTAATGTTCGTAGCCCTTAGACTAGCTGGAAAGTGAGACTGAAAGATCTTGCGGGAGGGTGCGGGTACTCCATTAAATCTAAAAGAAATATTCTATTCAGCTACTGTACAATTGATGGATTCATGCTCTCTGGGAACTATCCATCGAAGAAGTCGAAATCATCGCGTGGCCTATACCACTCCTCGGTGGCATGATCGTAGATGGCTCGCTGCACCTCAGCCTCTGCGGCCTCAATGGGGTCCGCCCTCGGTGCCAGTCGCTCCTGCGGCGCATCGAAGCTGCTGTCGGAGCGTGGACTGCGTGAGGTGGCCCGGAACTCCATCGGTATGTTGTAGCACTTGCAGATGCAGCTGGAGGGGAAGCGGAACCAGTCGGAGAAGATGCCGCGGCACTCGTTGTGCGGATCGTAGGCGAGCAGACGATGCAGCCGATACTGCTGCTCGCAGCGGCAGCCATCGCGGCAGAACATCTGCTTGAACTCCTGGGTGCACTTCTCCCAGTGGACGTACTGCTCGAACGGATACAGATTGAGCAGGGCCAGGACCTCACCGCGTGTGTTGTTCGCCCAAAAAGGGGCCACCACCTCATCCTTCACCGGACAGGCATTGCTGATGAATAGAATGAAATGGGAGGGGGGAGAGATTAGCTTTAGTTCAGAGCAGATCTATGATTAGACTTACACTCCGCGCATGTTGCTGCTCACCGCCACTGGCTCCTGCTTCATGGCATCCTGAAAGAGTTGACCCTCGCGCACCAGTCCCGCTTTTGTTGCGGCTCCTGTCTGAGCTGGAACAAGAGCTGGTCCTGGTCCTGGCGCTGGAGCTGGCGTGGGCGCTGCTGTGGTGCTGGTGGTCAGCGGCCTACGCTGCTTCTCCGGACTGAAGCCTGTCGAAGAGCCGGAGAACAGGGAAGCAAAGCTGACGGGCGTAGTCACCGATGGGGAGATTGCAGGCGAGGATTTGGTCGCATTGCGACGTATCAGCACGGTGGCTGTGGTGCTTGGAGCCGCTGTGGTTGTCGTCGTGGGCACAGCCCTCAGAGTGGCCGAAATGGTGGCGGCTTCTGCAGGCTTTCTCCTCCGACTGGCCGTGGCTGCGGAGCTTTTATTGGGCCCTGTGGTGGGCCTGAGAGTCGTGGGTGTCGGAGCATCCGCCTGCACCTCGCTGCTGAGATTCCGCAAGCCCAACTGAGGCGAGTCGATGATTTGGATGTTGTCCCCAGTCCCCGCACTGCCCGGCGATGGAGTGGTGCTGGTGCTCGTTGAGATGGGAACCTCGTAGACACTGTTCGAGTCCGGATTGGGAACTACTGGGGGATTCTCAAGAGGAGCAGCAGCTGTGGTGCTCGTACTGGTTGAATTCGAGGTGGAGGTGGGTGGCAATGTCGTGGGGCTGGAGGTGGAGCTTCTGGCCGTGGTACTGGTGGTGGATGGCGCCTCCGTTGTTGTCGTTCCCTTTGTAGTCGTCGTCGTGGTCGTGGAAACTGGTCGGAAGTGCGGCTCCATGAGCACATCGTTCCCTTTGTAGCTCACAAAGTCATCCCGGTCACGATCACGATCCCGATCCCGATCCCTATCCCGACCATGCATCAGATACTTGGCGCTGCGACGTCCTCCATCCTTGCTGTAACGCTCAGCGGTGTCCTCCATATCATCGTCATCCACCTCGTTGTTCTGGATCTCATCGCGCAGTATGGATATGTGTCGCACATCCCCGTACATGCGCTTCATCAGTCCCTGGTTCTCATGCACAAATCGCCGCACTGCATGCCAGGGATACGCGGTTCCGGGCAGATGGCAGAAGGCCTGCTTCCCCAGATCGCAGGGAATGGCCGCCAGCATCTGGGCTCTGCCGCGACGCGACATCTTGCCATTGGGTGTGCAAGAGTTGGCCGAGTCGAAGCCGAAGCCTGTGGCGACAATGGGCAGGGCTACCATTACGACCAGCAGTAGACATAGGATGACATCGTCCTGTGATTGTGGAATATTTGAAAGGAAAATTGAATAGTTTCACATTTAATTCTACAATTTATTGCACTTTTGAACCTTTGGGTTTAAAAGTCTCTGGGCAATAAATGTTGTGCATACGAGCCTTCAGATCTGAACTTAGCTGAGAAAATACCTTGTAGGTTAGCTACAATGATTTCCCGCAACTGTGCAGAGGCTTTTCCATTCTGAAATTGTTTTGCTAAAAGGCTTTTCCCCATAATGATTGAAAATTTGTTTGCTTTTGGGGTTGCACAGGGCAAAGATCTGCAGCTTTGACGGCCGAAGAGGAAATCTTATTTGAAATGAGAAATGAGAATCGACTGGTGGTCGCTGATAAGCAAATGGCGTGACGCTAAAACTCTCTTTTTATTGGCCTGGGAAGTGGGAGAATGCGAGGGATTGGAGTCGAGTGCACCTGGCTCTCACTTGGGGCCAAAAACAAATTGTCTCCGTCTGCCGTGACCGCGCCGTGACGAGGCAGAGTCACTACCAGAGCCGCTGGAAAATCAAATTTTACTTTCACGCAAAGCCAACGCTGGACAATCACAAGTCATAAAGATGATCGATGTGCATTTGCATGCCACAGACTGCATCTATAAAGAGATAGATACATATATGCAAAGAGAGAAGGAGAGAAAGAGAGAGAGACTGACTGGTTGCAGCAACAAAGCGGATGAGTGAGTGGCCACCGGGCAACCGGCAACCGGCAACCGGCGGAAGACGAAAACGAAGACAACCGACAGATGGCCAGGCCACTGCCGCCAGCCGGCAAAGTGAAATGCAAAGAGCAATCAAAAGCGAAATGGGTTACTACCCAAGTAAAAGTAAATTGCGGCACAGGCCGCCGCCTGTAAAAGTCCAACCGCAACGCCGCAACGTCGCAACGATGGAAAATCCCAGGCATTTCCCCACCCCCCCAGTTAGTGTGGTGGGGCCCTTTCAACTTTCCTTTTCGGTTGCACAATTGTTGAAAAACTGTGCTCAGACGTTTCAGTCGGTGGCCAGTCCTCGTTGGCCAAGAGCCCGCAGCCCAGAGCCCCCGCCTTATATGGCAGATATAGGGAACGGGCCTGTCTCTTCTTTCTCTCTCTCTCTGTCTGTCTGTCTGTCTGGCTGGGCGAACCGGTTCGCTGCCCAAAAATTGATATGCATTCAGTTATCGCCTATGCCCGGACTCGCATTCGTACTCGTACATACTACTCGTATTTATATTATATCCATATTATATGCCACACACACACTCGCATGTAAGTATCGATCGCGAATGATTCACTCGCCCTGCCGAAAAGAAAGTGTTCGGCTGGCTCCCTTGTGGTTTTGTTAGCGGATGTGTGTATCGGTGCCATAGTGCGAACTTAACACGCTACACGATTGGACTATGTTATGTCATCTGGGGGTTTGGGCGTTTGGGGGAAAATTCCAGCCTCCTGATTAGCATATGTAAACATTTGACATTGGGTCAACACGATTGGGTTGACTCTATTTCGTAATAGCTTCTCGGAGCATTCGTTTCTCTCAAGAGGAGCTGCAGTTACTATATATTTTTACTCGGAACATTTTGTTGGTGTTGTGGTATGTAACATAAAGGGTATTTAATGAATTACCATACCAATTTAAATGTATTTAAGGTGAAGCTTTAATTTCATATCGGCTATCCCAAACTAAACGGAAGATATTTGCAACTTTTGGCATCGATCCCTTAGATAAATGATAGAAGTATTCAATAAGGGAATTAAGGCCACAATCCACACCCCCGCGAGTCACACTTTAAATCACAAAATTAAACTCTATCCGCATAAATCCCAGAATGAGTTTCAGTAAAGGAATCATTTAATTCTAATATGAATAATGTTGTTCCAGAGCCTGTCAGAAAACATCTTAACATTTGCTGAATTCCTAGAAAAGATCGAAATTATACAATGCCTCGGAATAAGAAGAGGCATATGAAGGGGCAAGTAATTTTCGCATTCCTTACCACAATGTGGGGCAACTATTTTTATAATCATCTTCCGTACAGAATCACCACAATCAAGTGATTCGCTGTGCCTCCCCCACGTTGGGCAATTATAATGAGAAAGTGATCCGAATGATGATTAGATTATGGGGGGATGAGACCGCAAGATGGGTGCGAAGTTGCGAATGAAATGAGACTGTGGCTCTCTTTCCAACTAATTTGTGTTGAAAACCAAATCAGGTCAAACCGACAAAGACAAATGCGAGTGCCAGCGATGCCTGAAATGGAAAGCAGAATTACTTTCGCTTTGTTTGGCCAGGGTATCGCGATCGGTGGGAGCATTAGTGTCGATTGTCATGTGCAGCAAGACAATTAAACCGAATCTCATGCAGCCGCGGGTGAGTCGAGTCGAGTCGATTGGAGTGGAGTGGAGTGGAGTTTGAGAACGGGTCCATAGATCTATGGCTATGGCCATGGCTCTTCATTAACATTGTCATATTTCTTGGAAGCGACAACGGCCAGTGGAGGCCAGAAGGAAATTGGAGCAAGTGATGCTGCTGCTGCGGCTGCTGCGGCTGCTTCAGTGGCTGTCAGCAGTCCGAGTCGGTGAAACAAATCAATATGTCCAATCAGCCGTGAGAGCTTGCCCCGCGAGCAGTGCCGCAGTGCCGCAGTGCAAATGGGCATTAAGTCAACTTGCATCGAGGAAGACATTTGTCAATCGTAGACGCTGATGCCGAGCTGTCGCCACAGAAATGTATTGCAACACTTTAATGTGTCAGCGACTTTCTACGAAAACCAACCAGATGGGCAGGACAAGGCAAGGCAGCAGCAGCAGCAGCAGCAGCAGCAGCAGCATCTCTCGGCACGAGGAGATGTTCCAGTGTATGTCTTCATTTCCCAAATACAATGTTGCCCCAAGTCTTTCCCGCTGCCTCTCTTTCTCTCTGTCTCTGTCTCTCTGTCTCTCACTCTGGCATTGCAACTTCAACGACAGCTGCTAGAATGAATTATTTATAAATCCAATTGGCTCTGGAAATAAAGTTGATGTTACATTTAACCAAATTTGGTGGTGCGGTGGTTTCAGTGCTCTTTGCTGTGGATGCTGCTGTCTCTGCTGCTAATTGCCAGCCAGCTGGCGAATGGTGAAATTTCCACAAGCCACAAAACAAAAGACTTAAGCGACAAACTTGACTTTAGCTGCAGCGCCCTCTACACTGGATTCCCACTTCCATTCCCATTCCCATTCCCATCCCTAGATCGAATGCATATTCATGGATCGCTAATTACTCGATGAAATTTCACTTGTGGCCAACACCGGAAAAGGCCCCGCAGACCGCCGCAGTCTCTACCCAAATTGGCAAGTGGCTGTTTTTGGCATTCGCCTCTTTTTTTTTGTTTTTTTTGTTTTGTTTTCTGTTTTAGTCTTACCAACTATCGGGCCAAAATCCAACAAGTCAATCCCCAATAACCAAGGTGAGCCGCGGCCCACAGTCGGAGCCCCCCACCCCCTCCGATTTGCTCTCGAAGAAAGTGAAACTTTTTTTTTTATATTTCATTTCATTTTCGTCTCTCTTTTTGGGATTGCTTTTTTGTGTTGTTGTTTGTTTGCTGTTGGTTATGGTGTTGTGATTGCGTAGTCATGCGTTAAAAAAACCACACACAAAAATCGATACAGCGACGATACAGCCAGAAGTTGTTAATATGCATAAAACGCTTAGAGCTCGGAGCAGCGCCCAATGGCTGATCGATTTCAACACATTTTTGAGAAATGGAAACGTCCGAAGACGTGTGACCATCTCTTAATTGCGTTTTCATTTTCATCAATGGAACAGGGCCCCAATAGCCCATGGCCCCATGGCAGCCGAGGGGCAATCAATCAGTTACTCCTGATTGACACTAATATGACAATTCCCTGAGCGGTAAGCTGTGGAATCGAGGGTTTCATGGTTTATTGGGGTCTTTCAGCTCTTTTCTGACAAATATATATTTAATTTATTTAATTCTATTTATTTAACACCAGTGGCAATAGTTGTCTTGGCTTAACAGATCGAAATAAGGAAAGCTGATTTATTACAGTAGTTTGGGGTAGGGAAAATAATTCTAAAAAGCAGTGCTGCAATTCCAACAAATGCTCAAAGGAAATTAATTTAATTTTACCAAACCACTGCACACATTTCTCCAATGGCTGTCAGCTTGTGGCATACGTATTTATTTCTGTATATTTTGGTAATGATGAAGTTCGTAGAGGAATTCTAATCGCAGTTATAAAACTTTATTGCTGTCGATAGCGAAACACTTCCCCTATGCAAACTCTTTATGTTGGCAAACAATTCACTCACTCAAAGCACAGCTAGGGATAAAGATATAGCTGAAGATAGCCAAAGAAACAGTTACACAAGCAGCCCAGCCCCACTTACCGTTATTAGCTGTGTGATCCGCAACCGCCTATCCATTTGGGTGCGCTTCATTGTTCACTTTCACTCGATTGACACTCTCCCAATGCCGAATGCCGAATGGCAAATGGCAAATGGCGAATGGCAAATGCAAAACTTAATGGCAAATAGAAATCTGTCAAGGATTCGGCAATGTTGGACAAAGACACTACGCGGCGGAAATTATTGCTCGGAGTGGAACGGCCTATATGTCCGTCCGCCGATCAGCAGCTGACGAAAGTGTCGCACACTCGGGATCACATCCACATACACATTCGGGATAACAATTAGCGGTAAAATCCATATTTTCATTTAACTACACACAGAGTTTTCGCTCGGCTTGGATGGGATGCAGTTTTCCGCGACCTCTGGTGCCCCGCTTTCGTGCTGGGCTCTCTGGCTTTTCCCAGTGTAACCGCTGCAAGACCGTGTGGAGAAGGAAGTCCCAAGTCCCAGGCCGAAAATCAAAATCACGTTCACACGCTTCGCGCTCACGTTTGCAACTGCGCCAACGACGCCAAAGACAGCACCAGCTTTAGCTTCAGCTTCAGCTCCAGCTCCAGCTGCAGACCCCGTCCCAGAGACCAAAGCCAGACCCAGACCAGACCAGACCTCTCTCCCCTTTGCTCACGACAGAGAGCGAGCCCCAAGATCGGTCGGCTGGGGCTCGGCTGCGCAAGCGAAAACGCTTTTTATTTTTACGGCTCTGTTCGGTTTTTTTTGTTTTTGTTTTTTCTTTTTTGTTTGATTTTGTTTCTTTCTTCTGGTTTGGTTTTGTTTTCTGTTTTTTATTTTTGTGTCTTTCTGTCTTCTTCTTTTTTTGCGTTTGCAGGAAAACTTTTTCTTATTTATTATTCGAAGCATCAGCAGCGTCGGCGTCCGCGTCGGCGTCCGCGTCGTCGGGTGGCGGAGTAAATGCAAACATTGAAAAACGAGCGAGCGCGCGACCAGCAGCTGAGGCATCAAGTTGGCATTCCGACTAACAGATACCTGGTACGTGGCAGAGAAGGTAGTCTGGTAACAGCTACAGCTAAATTTCTAGATAATCTCCACTTAGACATTATTCTTTAATGATTTTTTTTACAGCTATCCATCTAATCAAAACATCGAGAAAATGTGCGCTAATTTTGCTGTGTTCTTTGATTATTTTTCTCTGGTTAAAGAAACTGTCTGAGCACCATTGACTGAGGATTATCTGAGGATTACAAGTCCCTCCAGGCAGTATTGGGTACATCATAAACCGTTTAGATACCCACTGAATATCGTTCATTAATTGCTCCCACCCTTCCATCTCTTTTTATTTACCTTATTTAAGCACATAAATAGTTAGTAGTGCGCTGACTCCCAGGGCTTTTGACGCTTTATGTATTTATTTATTTTTCTATATATTTAAATTCACTTTTATCATTTTTAAAGATCATTCTTTTTGTGTGTAAATTATCATTAAACATCTCATCAAACTACCCTCTGTGCTCGCTACGAGGGCAGGGTATCCAAAGAGAATCAACAAATATAAATACTAGCAACAAGAAACAGCGCCACACGCAACGCCAACGAAGAGCGCGGCCAATGTTGATGTTGGAGCCGAGTCCGAGTCAGAGGCAGAGGCAGTGGCAGAGACTGGCACTGTGAGACCCAAGAAAGAGACGATGATACGTCTTTGGGGCTGGCACTACGACGACGAGTGCGTCGTCTCGACTGCTTAGTAGGTCAGTAGTGGACCTGAACATTGTTGTTGCTTGGGTTTTTGTTTTGATTCATTTGCTGTGGATGTTGCTGTTGCTGCTGCTGTTGCTGCTGCTGCTGAGGATTAGACGGTCAAAGCTTGTTTTGGCGCGCATCTTCATGGCTTGATTGGGAGTGTTGCAGTTGCCGAGGGTTGCACCAATGAGTTCTCAGATATTATGAGTATAGCTAAGAACAGAGTTTGAGATTTTTCAGTTTTTTATAGCTTCTTAAATTTGTTCCCCAGTATTGTTTTATATTTTCTGTAAAACAATCAAAAATCATTTTCATTTAAGGGAATTAGTGGAATTTATTTATTGATAGTGATAATCCCTTGGAGTCTTGTCTCAGCCTTTCGAACGTCTCTTCGAAGCTCTCCAAGTCCTGTGTATTAGTTCGTACTCCCTTCAGATCGCATACATTGTTATCCCATAACTTATCAAGTGGCCCTCGCTGGCGCCTAACTGGACAGAACTGTTGAAAGCCACTTGGTGGCCGGGGCTAGCCTCGGTTTAATTATTGTTGTGTGTTTATTATGTCTTGCCCAGCCCCCCGTCACGCCCACAAGGCACGACAAGAACAGTATTGTGTTCATTTGTTTCTTGCTGTACTTATTTTTGGCTTATTTTTTATTGGCTGATTACATGCCGCCACACGTCCACGTCCACGTCCACCACTTGTGGCAGAACTGCCAGCATAGCAGGGGGATATCGGAGACCAGCACATGGAATGGGGTGGTCCCCATGCCTCACGCCTGACGTCTGACGCCCGACGCTTCACGTGTCCCTTACCCAGTGCCAAACTGGTTCCCTGCCAAATGGATTCGATTGCGAAATACTAGCAATACTACGAAATACATGCAAACTTTTACAATAAAACACTGTTTGTGTGTGGACTTTGGATGGATTTCGTTTATGGATTTGTCGGCGCTAAATGGCAAACAAACTGTGTGTGTTTCCTCATGCAACTCATGGGCTTGTATGCATGCTCGTATCTGTAGAGATACATACTATATTTGGGGTAGAGCAAGTGAAAGTGCAAAAATAATAATTTTGGTTGCGGTTAAGCGAGCTCCAGCCCAGAGCTCAGCACAGATCCCCACACGTAGCAGGTTCACGGCACTTGGGTGCTTTAATCATGTGGTCCCAGTTCTACATATAAATACTACCTGCGTTTGTACAGACTTACAGTGTGGTTCATACAAGTAAAGCGGGGAAAAAAGATGGCGCAATAAATACAATAAAAATTGCATTGAAACCTTGCGGCATCGAAGCCCGTGTGAGTGCTCCAAAAATAACGATAATTAGCTGGAATGAACTCAATCATTTCGAGTAAGTGTAATGATGCAGTTCCAGGCAGTTTCCTGTAGCTTTAAAGTGTCCTTCAATTGGGAACTTTAACGTTGAAGAAGCACTAAAAATGGTGAAAAACTTCAACTTTGGATCGCTATATCTTCAGGTATATCCATTCTATCGACACGAATCAACAAATCCTCTAGATCCTCTAGGTCTTTTGTGACCTTGCGTAATTTTTGCAATTTTAGTTGAGGGGGTGGAATAGAGAGTTATAGAGAATTATTCAACCCCACCCAAGTAAAATTTCGAAAAGTGCGCAAAGCCACAAAATCGCGATTTTTAAATTTATAAAAAAGATTCGTAATTCGAAAAATGAGGAACTCATTCCACGCTTGGAATCGAAACATTCATCAAGACCATCCATCAGTTGTAATCCTTCAGACATCTTTCGTAACTTGATCCTCGATTGGCGGCTACTGGCGAGGCGTATTATTTGGGGTTATTCAGCGCAATGGATATTATGACTTTTTTGCACCCCAAATAATGGCTTAAATATGCAATCAGAACAATCCCATTAGCGGCCACAGCCACGCGTTGCAGCCACATCTGTGCTTCGTCTCCCAGCGGGAAGCATCATCATCGACGCCATCATCATCAGCTTTAGCTTCAGCTTCAGCTTCAGCCTGCAATTATTGCTTGCGACGCCGAAATGTCTGCACCGAGCGGCAGCTGGAGCTGGATGCTGGATGCTGGATGCTGTCTCATGGCGCGATGAAAGTGCCCCACTGGCTGTGGCAGAAGGCAGTTTCCCATGCGACTTCGAATGGAACTGCAACTCGTGTTCATTAGCGTCAGCGTTGGGGCAGGGGGAAATGCGTGGCGTGGCTTACAACAACATGAACAGACAGATAGAAAGAGAGAGAGAGAGAGAGAAAGAAAGAGAGACATATGTGTATGTGCGGACAGACTTCAAAGATAATAATGTTTGAAATTTTCAGCAAACAGACAAATAAACGTTCTACTTTCACCAAAGCAGCAGCACCAGCAGCACCAGCAGCGGCAGACAGGCTGGGAGAGTACAAAGAGTAGGTTGGGGGTGGAGACGTTGAGAGGTGGTGCCATAAAACAGATGATTGGGGTGCCAGAACACTTACAAATATAAGTTACGGAAATTAGAGATTCAGTTTGAATTTTAGCGGTCATAGCAGTCGGCTGAGTGAAATATCAGTCGGCTTCTGAAGTACTGCATGCATGGCATTATACAGCACTCTACAGTGAACGCCTTAGTACGTTAGTGGACAACCGTTTTGCAGCACTGTACAATCAGCTGTTTGAAAAAAACAACAAATTAAATAAACATTTTGGAAAAATACACAAAAAACTGATGGAATTCGTAGATAAAATGGATCTGGAGAATGAGAGAGTGCTCAAGCTGATATTCCCCGATGGTGTGCCAGGTATTTGATTCAGTCATACAGCAGCGATGGCAATGAAAATAAAATTTCCATTTCCATTTCCATTCGAGACAATCTGCGTGGCAATCCCGAACTGGACAACTATCTCGGAAAACTGGGCACCTACAAGGTGGAGCAGCTGAAAAAGGAGCAAACACGCCTGGCCGACGAGACCAAGACCATATTGGAGCAGACCCAGGACCTGGCCATCTCCAACTACAAGACATTCATCACGACGGCGGAGAACTCGCGGTCGATATTCAACGAGTTCCTGAAGACGGAGGAGCAGGTGGGCACACTGATTGGCAAGCTGCCAGAGTTCAGCGGCAAGTGCGAGCAGTTCCTGAAGGACTCCGCCGAGCTGAACGAGCAACGGCGCCTCAATTCCATAACGCTGCAGAAGAACGCCCAGCTGCTGACGATACTCGAGCTGCCGCAGCTGATGGAGCGCTGCATACGCGAGGGACGCTACGAGGAGGCCCTGGAGCTGGCCGCCTACGTGCAGAAGCTGGGCCAGCATCAGGGCCACATTTCTGTGGTGAACGTAGGCTTCTGCTGTGCCCCCCACCAAAGATGTTTATTGAAAGCATTTACCCTTTCAGAGCATTGTGCGGGCCGTGGAGGCCTTGTGGCACACCATGCTGGTGCAGCTGGTGGCCCAGTTGCGTTCGGACTTGCAGCTGCCCAAGTGCCTGCAGATCGTTGGATACCTCCGGCGGATGCAGGCATTCGGCGACAACGAACTAAAGCTGAAGTTCCTGCAGGCTCGCGACTCCTGGCTCACCTCCTGCCTTGAAGCCATTGCCACAGCGGATGGTAAGCTACCGGAATGGATGCCAACAGATTCTCTCACTCATTGAGCGTCGTCCCTACAGCCCAGCAGCATCTGACCAAGACCATCGAGATCACGCGCATCAATCTGTTCAACATCATCACCCAGTACCGGGCCATATTCCCGGAGGAAGAGGCCGCTGCCAAGGCGACGGGCGGTAGTCTGAGGCCCTTGCAGGGTGTTAGCTGCAACGGCGATCGCCTCTTCCAGGCCTGGCTGCACAACAAAGTCGGTAATCGCTTGGCAGACGCCCTCCTGTTGATTTTAATCTCTCGCTCTTCTCAGATCAATGCGTTCTTGGAGACGCTCGAGAAGGATCTGGAACGCGGCGTTGGATCCATTGAGACGGTCTTGGGACAGTGCATGTACTTCGGGCTCTCCTTCAGCCGCGTCGGTGCCGACTTTCGGGCCCTCATGGCCCCCATCTTTGTGGGCGTGGTGCAGCGCAGGTTCGAGGCCAGCATTGAGCAGGTGAACGAGCACTTTGAGCAGGAGCTGGAGAGGTTCACGCTGATCAACAAGGTGACGCTGCACTCCCGCAAGCAGCTGGATCCCGCCTCGCTGTCCGCCAGCGAGCACGAGTCCTTTGCGCCACCAGAGACTCTTCTGGACTTCTACCCACTGGCCGCCCTCTGCAACGGCTATCTGAATGCGTTGAACGAGCTGCGGCTCTGTGCCCCACTGGCCCTGGCCACAGACGTCACGTGCTGCTTGGAGCAGTCGCTGCAGCTGGTAGCTCAGCGGGTGCTCGCCTTCTACCGCCAGGAGCAGCAAGCCTTCACGGGCAACGAGCGCGAGAGCTTCGTGAAGCTGTGCTCCTGCCTGGCCTACGACCTGGTGCCCTATGTCCAGCGCTGCATCCACGGCGTCTTCCCACCCCAGTCGCTTACCCTTCACCTGGGCATCAGCCTCCTGCAGCTGGAGCAGCAGCAGCTCACCTTTCTGCAGCAGACACGCATCCTAGAGCCCCTCAAGCATCTCCTGCCCACCAAGGTGCTGCTACAGCCACCGCCTGCCCAGGCAGCCGCTCTGGAGGCAAAGCCCAGCGTCAATCTACCCGTCGCTGCCGAGGGATGAGTTCTGGTAGCCATCAATCTTTCCACATTTCTAAACAATGTTTATCGGCAGTAGTATATACATACTCGTATGTTTTTATTCGTTATACATGTAAATAATAAAGATTAAATATTGAATTTTATATGTGAGTATATGCAAAAGAAATCTCTGTTCGGGGAACATTTCCCAAATGGGAATATCTAATGCCTATTCCCGAGTGTATTGGCTCCGCAAGCCTGCATTTATTTATTATGTGCATTGAATATTGATGATAAGTCCTCCCTTAATCGCTCTCAGATTCGCTCTCTTTGTAGATCTCTTTATCTCTCTCTTAATCGCTCTCTTCTACGTCTCTTCCTCTCTCTCTCTCGTATGATTCGCTCTCTTCAACGCTCTCTTCCTCGCTCTCAGATTCCTCTCTTCATCGCTGTCTTCATCACTCTATTCTACGTCTCTTAATATCTCGTATGACTCCTATGATCTTTCCATCGCTCTCTTCCTCGCTCTCTTCATCGATCTCTTCATCGCTCTCTTCCTCGGTCCCTTTATCACTCTCTTCATCGCTCTCAGATTCGCTCTCTTCCTCGGTCCCTTTATCTCTCTCTTCATCGCTCTCAGATTCGCTCTCTTTATCTCTCTCTTCATCGCTCTCTTCTACGTCTCTAAATATCTCGATTCCTATGATCTTTCCATAGCTCTCTTCCTTGCTCTCTTCATCGCTCTCAGATTCGCTCTCTTCCTCGGTCCCTTTATCTCTCTCTTCATCGCTCTCAGATTCGCTCTCTTTATCTCTCTCTTCAACGCTCTCAGGCTCGTCCTTGGAATCGTTCCAGTCTGAATCTCTCCATTTGGTGACAATAACGTACGTTTCAATGTCAATGGCAGTCATAGAGTTCTGAAAGTACGAAAACATAAAGTGAGACTTTGTGTATGCCTATCCTATCCTGTGGGATATACGTTTCGCTTACCATGGCATATATTTTAGCATATGACCCGGTAGTCCGTATCTCCAATGGACCTTGAGTTGAGGGATCTCTCACTGATTTTAGAGTTTCCAGTGAATATTTGATGAAGTAGACGTAGGAAAAGAAGCTTAAATTTCCCACATAAATACACTTAAGATATCGACATTCTACAATAATGTTATCATAAATATATTGGTGTCCAGGTCGGAAAGTGATTTCCAGATTCTCAATATTAGTCATGTTAGCCAAGAGGGAGAAGCTTCCATAGTCTCTGAAGCCACACTTTAGTCTTGTGATTGAATCAACCTGCACGAGGTTACGAGCCTCCTCAAAGTCGATAAAAGTGCGCTCTATAAATAAGCTATTTAATTTGGTGGAATCCTTCAGTGAAAGTGCCCGGAAGAGAACTGCTAGAGAACCCCTTTTGGGGAAACAGGATATTGTCAGATCTTCGAGGTGCAAAGACTCGGCCAATCGCTCAATGCCCTGGGTATCTTTGATTGGGAGCTTCAAGGACTTCAGTCTCGGAATTCGAAGAATAAGGTTTATTGCGGTAGCTAATTCCTGACCGACTGCCAGACCATCGATAGTTAATTTCTGGATATTTGATTCGCCAGAAGATGCAAAAGCAGTGAGCAGATCAACCAGAGAGGTTTCACCTTCCCTAGTTGTTATGCCCAGATGCTCGATGCAGTTTCGCTGTGACAGTACATCCAGGCCCTCTGTGCTGCAGAACGCGCACTCGAGTCCCTTCAAGGAACCTATAGCTGACACTTCGGTCACCTCTTGGGGGGTGAGACCTGCGCCCCTTACAGCCAGATGTACCAGTGTGGGGCACTTGCTGGCGGCAAGACTCCCAAGAAGGTTCTTCAGGGAGCCCGCTCGATGGGAACCAACAACCAGCACTGCCAGATGGGGAAGATGAGCCAGCTGTTCTATTTCTATATCCTGAACATGGGATACACTGCAGACGAGGGTTCGGAGGGACTTCATTCGACTCACTTCCCTCAGCTCTTCATTGCTCATTTCATAGCGCCTGTCCACTCTCAGTTCCTGCAGAGTCTCGCCTTGACACGCGGCCAGCTGTCTCAAGAAATCGCGCATGGAGCCATCTTCGAAGACTCCAGCAATAAAAACCTTCCGCAAATTCTGCAGGCCAGCTAGGGGATTCAGTTCAATGCCGTTGGATAAGTCATCCCCTAAATAGACATTTAATGGAGAAACAGTCAGTTTCCCAGTGGACTGATCGAACGTTATTTCGTAGGGGATAAACCTGGAATTGTGTCTCAGAACTTTTAAAACTTGGAAATTGCTTAAATGGAGTAAATGCCGCAAACTTTCTTCATGTATCCTGCCTCTAAAATTGTTCAACGAAGGAATCCTGGCCAATTCCATAGTGTCACCAAAGTCGAGACATTGGTGTGGTATGTTCAGACTCTGTAGATTGGAATTATATCTCATTGCTAGGGCGGCAAGGAGTTCTCTCAGGGACCCACCACTACGCTTTTCTAGATCCATATGGGTTACAGATTCAAGGCGGGCTAAGGATTCTATCGCGAGTCTTTTGTGTCCAAAAAAATCCATGTCAAGGTACAATTTATTTGTTTTCCGATTGAAGGATATCCTCCCCTTGCCGATCAGTAGATCAATTTTATCTTGACAGGCCTCCAAAATTTTGACGAGGATCTCACCCGATTCCAAGTTGGCACGAGGGGACAGCTTTAAAGCACAGCCTATCTCAATTCTAGTCAACTTCGTGCAGGAATCTGTAACTGCAAGGACACCAGGCAATATATTGTCTAACTCTTTAACGCTATTCAGATTCAGATATTCCAGTTCGGTTAGTTGAGACAGAAGCTGAATGTCCAGATGGTTGAAGAAATCACATTCCAAAGTTCGCAAAGATCTCAGGCGGGCCAGTTCCTTTGCCTCCACAGCATTGATCCGTCTTTCCAAACACAACTTTTGTAGTGTCTGCGGCTCCTTCGAGGCCAGAGCAGCCAGGAGGCCCTGGAGGCGCTGGAGGGGTTGTGGGTATGAGTATGATTGCGCAGACATAATAGTCAATTCTTCGAGCTCGGGTAGCTCCGCTAGGAGCTCAGCGTTACTTTCATCGTAAAATCCACACGTCAACCTCTTCAGGGATGCGATTTTAGCTATTGCTGCGGTTTCCCATGCCGTGATTTCTCTCAACGACAAGTCCGTCAATGTGGGTGCGTTCCTGAATCCATTGAGAATCGGCTTAAATGGATGAATGATTGAATCGCGCGATCTGTCAAGACCCAGAAAAGACAAACCTGGCAGAGTCTCAAGGGGACTGTAGTCGAAGGCATTCGCAAACTCCATGTTCAATTCAATTCTAAGTTTCCCACTTGGTTCGTATGTTATTGTCGAAGGGTCTAGCTCAATAATCATTGCCACCTTTGACTCCACTATAATTCTCAGAACTTGCTCGCATAATGTCCTAGAGTCGTGTTTGGACAGTATCTTCAAGTTTTTGAGTTTGGTCAATTGGGACAAGAGCCCAATGCTCTGGGGATCGTCAAATCCACACTCCACTCGCGTTAATGTAGTGATCTGGGCCATTGCCTGCGTTTCATTGTGGTCCAATGGTGCGTCGTCTATGTACAATCTGTTGAAGAATTTGCTCTGAGTGCAGGCCAATTCCTTCAGAAGAGGCTGAAGAGTGCCCTTCTCGTGAACTCCTTTGATTTCTAACCATTTCAGTCTGGGAATCTTAGCCAAAGGCCTGTATTCGCTTGCATCGCAGTCGGGTCTCATTTTGAAGCCGAGATATTCCAACTCTTCGCAATGAGGGACGATCGCGGCCAGCCTCTTTCCTCCCGTTTCATTGTTCATGAAGGACAAAACTCTCAAGTTTTTGTTCAGACGGCAGATTTCAACCAAATCATCAATATCCATCCGCACATTCAATCGGAGTTCCTCGAGGCTTCTTAGTGCTCCCAGACCCTCTAGGGTGTAGCCTGAAATATACAAATGTTCCATGTTAAATACGTATGCCCCTAGACCTAGACATATAATGCTCTCACCCCGCACATCAATGTATAACTTTTTCAGATTTGGCTTGTTTTGGAGTTGAGCTATCACGGTGTGAAATGCTTCAAAGTGATCACTGTGGAATGATTTGGGACGGTACATCAATTTGACTTTCGTACATAGTGATTCCCTGAGGGCGTGGCTTAGATTCCGCCAGAAGGTTTCCCTGTACTTTGCTGGCATATTCTTTAAGTTGGTATGAAAACGTCCGAAATTGATGTAGCTAGTTCTGATCTTAAGGAACAAAACATGTCTAAGCCTGTCATATAGATCCTCATCCCATGTTTCAAGCATATCGCGGAGCCGCTCGCTGCAAGCGGCCAAACTAATGAATTCTTCATACTTGGTTTTGTCGGGGACATTTTTTCTCTCTCTCTCGCAGTTCTCATTTATGTACTTAAATATTTCAAAGATGATCTCAGGTGGCAAATTAAAAAGGCTCACTTGACTCATTTTAAGTTAGTCACGGCGTTTGATTTGTTACAATTGCGAAAGGTTTTTTTATTGAGACGGTTATTGTTTTTTTATATTTTTATTTAACTTTGTTGTTTCGCTGGAAAGTTTTTGCTTGTCTAGTGAGTCACTCACACATACACACGCACGATAAGTTTACTTTTAACATAATTTATAATGTTATTATTAAAAATTAAAATTTTGTAGTTAATATGGCATCAAGTGCATGCTATATTAATGCGCAAAAATACTTTATAATCGCACTTTAACGTATGATTTTATATATATAAGCTGTACGGATAATTTACACGTCTTTCTAGCTCGCCAACGCCCTGGGAAATGCAACCAAAGTGTTTGCTGCCAGCAGGAAAAAAGCTGGGCGCATAAAAGCTTTTTTTACTACTCTCCGTTTCGCCCGATAAGACCATCCGCTTCTATATCGGGTACTCAGGCAGTACTACAGTAGGCACACATATTATTCGGACACCCTTGTCACTCTAGTTTGAATACCTATAACTTGGCGTACGGTTGTATAAAATTAACTTTTTCTGTTTAACTTAACCGTACGCCAAGTTATAGGGGTTTAAACTAGAGTGACAAGGGTGTCCAAATAATAAGTGTGCCTACTGTATATATGGACTATATATGAACGTAATCTAACGATTTATTTTACCTATACAATAAATTTGTAGCGCCGCATATTCTCTCTCCCACTCTCGATCTCTTTATGTTTACGTCTTTTGTTATCGCTGTTCGCTTGATATGCTGAATTTATATTTTGGTCAATGCGGGGAATCCCCACTCACCGCAAAAATCTCTCTCTTCTCTGACATTAGCTTCTAATTTCCTATGAAATCGGTGATGGTTCCTTAGCCGTGTAAATCCCCACGTTCCCATTGAAATCTGCACAAACCTTCATTTACTTTTAGAGCTGTATACTGCAGCGGTTCTTCCAGTCAATCGTTTTGTAGAATCACAAACTTGCCCAGCAACCAGACTCGCGGTGTGAGGCGCAGACCTGGTTGTGTTTTTGACCCACTAGGGACCGTGGTAAGGGACAGGGTGTCCGCGAGAGTGCAATAATATTTTTACTTTAGCGCCGAACGATCAAAAAGCGACGCTGGGGCGTCCAACCGTCAATGCCAAAGCCAAGCCAAAGCGGAGCAATCAGCTACTCCGTACCGATATCTCTCTACCCCCCCCACCCAACCTATCTTACGTCTATAACCTGACCAAAGCGTCGACATGGCGGGTCAGATTGGGCATGGTTACGGGGTGGCGTGGATTGGTCTGGACACGAGACGCGTTTATAAGCAATTTCGCGAACAATGACTAAATTTCGAGAAAAGCGAGCGACGATTTTGCTGCTGCTGTTTCTATGCTGCTGCTGTTGTTGTTCTAGTTTGCATTCGAATGAATCTGAATGCAACGCAGTTCGCCGAAAATTGGAAAACATGGCAGCTGAATGGACAACAACTAGTGGAACAGGAGGTACCAGAGGTAGGATTGGCGACTGGGCATCGGGACATGGACATCGGCAGAGACAGAAAGAGAGAGAGAGAGAGAGCAGCTCAACATTCAGCGGCGGCTTATCGTTCAACGTCAGCGCCGGATGCGTTTTGTGGCCACGGCCTGTGTGGGTGCAGACGATAGTCGGGGTGTGGGTAGGGGTAGGGGTAGCTATAGCCGTATTCGGAACCGGAGCGGGATCTGTTTGGAGGCTTCTGTATTTTTAAGTCCACCACTAAATACAAACGAAAGCACTCAAGCACAAGTTGGCCACGATTTCCCTGTCCCAAAACCAATTGCCGGCCTACTCCACACACACACACACGACTGGCACGCATTCCATTCCCCTTTCATAGGGCCGTAGTCGTAGTCACAGCCGTAGCCGTAGTCCGGGATGTAGTCCGGCCTGGACTCGTCATAGTACAAATGGAATTTGGGATTTTGATTGCGAATCGAAATAGATTTTGTGGTATTTGGGCAAGCAGTGCGAAACAAGCGACTAACAACCTGAGTCTGTCTGTGTATCCTTCTCTGTGTGTGTTTGTATCTGTGTTTGCACAATGTGCATGTGCATGTGCTAGTGCATGTTTGTGTGTGTTCATTTGTTACTTTGGCATCGCACGGACAACACTGCGTATACGCGCTTTATTCCATCCGTTGATTGATTGAGTTTGTGGAGGCTTTTTACACGCTTTACGCTCGCTGCCTTCGTTTTTGAGAGCCCTTCGATTATTCGATTTTGGATTTTTTCAGACCCCCTTCCCCGTCGTCGCCCCCACCACCCCCTCCTCGTTTCAGTACATCTGCTCTGTTTGTGCTGGTTTTTGTGCCGACCATTCGTTCGTTTTAATTCCGTTACCAAGTTGATTTTGTTAACCGGTAAAGTCGATTTTGCAACACCTGAAAAATTGCTGCTGGCAAAAAAAACTAAATAGAGACAAAGAGTACTTTTATGGGTCGTTCTTGGCAGGTTTTTTTTTTGGTTTTGCGAAATCCTTATACAATTTTGCACGTTCTGACGCTAAAGAAATCAGTTTATAGTATTTTAGATCATTTATTCCGCTCAATCAGGGATACCTTGACGAAAGAAGGGAATTCTAAGCAGTAACACTTTTAAAGTAAAAAAAGTATCTGGCAAATTCTGCAGTGGAAGCACTTCTGAGATTTACCATAATAATTTGATAGTTTGATACCTCATCGACTGGGCGCTCGCACATTAAGAGTCAGCAGAAGAGTAGGCAAATTAAATGCTCTGCGTAAAAGGTAATTATTTTTATTTTGGTTTTATTTTCGTGGTCTCTGTAGCTGCCTTAAGTACAAATTGGTATTTTTTCAATTTAAATAGACGCCACACTCGCACAGAGCACAGACACACATATGTATTTACACTCAGTCAGGGGCTGAGCAAAGCAAAAAAGAAACAAAAAATTGTTTGTTCGTTGTTCTGGAGCCAATATGAACAGTAAATTTTCGAGTCTTTGCCCAAAGGGCCCATAAATAATAGTTATTTTTGGACAACGATTATAGAGTACACAAACAAATACAAAAATATGACCTAGATGTGATATCTTCATGCCTAATCAAATAGTTGCACACAGAAGGTCTGTACTGGGTTCAGAATCTACGACACTAGCAATGGTCTGAAAGGAATAGCTGCGAGTGTTTGCATTAGTATCGGCTTATCGTTCAAGCTAAGCCTAGAAGCCTATATTCAAATTGATAATAAACAAATAAATAATAAATAATAATAAATATAATATTATATTATTATATTATAATATAATATAAATATAATAATAATAAATAAATAAAAAGTGAAGCAAAGAGATGTTTAATTATTTAATTGAGAATGGATTGCTACGTGCTTCGACAGTACGTATCATACGAATAGTGTTTGGGGTTTTGTATGTACATGTGTGTATGTATAACTGAGGTTACTTTTGCCAAAGAATTCGCTGAATAATGTCCAACCCTTGTTCAGTGTTCTGGCATGGATATTGTGTGGGTTGGCGAAGCGACGCGACGCGGTGCGATGCGATGCGACGCTGCTGTGCCATTGTCCGGCTGCTAATTTATCGGGATAATTGCCAAATGACCAAATGGGGAGTTTTATTACAGCTGCAAGAGTGGTGGGAGGAGCAGAACCAAAAGCCGAAGCAGGAGTACGACTGATGAGCAAAGCACAAAAATTGCCAGACAACGGAACGGAGCACTCCAACCATCCCCCCGACTAAAGGCAACGGGACTCATGTGGCACGTCTGGCTCAGGCTCAGGCTCTATCTCTATTTGTATATGTATCTATATCTGTATCTATAGCTTTTGTTGCTGGCTCTTACCCTGCTCAACCTTCGGCTGTTGCTTCTCCCCATTTCTGTGTATTTTTAATTGTAATTCATAAATTACATTATTTACCGACTTCATGTGTGATTCCAGGGGGGGAGGGGGTACATAAGAGGTGGGTTAGTTAATGATGCTGCCATTTGGGGATTGTTGCCCCGCACACACACCCACACACACACACCTAAACACACATGAGCTGGAAATCGATATCCCGGGGCACTGAATATATATCCACAAAATGGCCTTCTCATAAATGTCAACTTTGGGCTGTAAACTGTAAACGAAATTGAATTGAATTTGGCACTTAACACCGCGTGCCGTGCCGTGGCGTGCCGTGCAGCGCCGTGAACCACTCTTCCGAGTCAGTCGGATTCAATTTTGCACTGATTCAATTTGGATTCTTTTACTTATTCTTTATGCAAAATTATTGCCGCAGCGTATTGAGTCGGATAAGGGCCCAGCTCCCAGCTCCCAGCGCCCAGCGCCCAGGGTGGGGCTGTTCAACGAGTTGGAAAACACCCAGGGATTTCAGCGAAACTCTGCGGAGAGACAGCACTGAGACTGAGGCCTCTGCGTGTATGTAAATTCGCAAACAAATCACTCGAGCTCGGGAAATACCCTTAGGGGAATCCTTTGGTTATCCTTTAGCGATTTTTCAAATAAACATGCAACACATTTTTTAGAAACTCCTTCCCAGCGTGTCTTTGGCGCTGCCAAACTTTGACGCGTTATTTTTTCCTTTTCTTTTTTTTTTTTTTGGTGGGGTATCAGATTTCCGTCCAACTCGTTCGCTCTCCCCTGCTGGCATGTTCGGCGATGATGCCATGCCGCTGACGATGATGATGACAATGCCAGAGTGCGCCTCGAGGACACTCGGCTGACATGTGGGAGCGTATACCGTTATGGGCCAGGCTAATGGGCTGCCGCGGGCCAAAACGCTCATGACTTTGACGGATTTTGCTGCATGCAAATTCTGTTAGGTTTGCCTGATTAGCTTTTGGGGGACAGGACATAGATATAGGTGGGTGGGTGGATTGGGGGCAGGGAGCTAATCGCCTGGGAATCTGGTGGCATTCTTATTTGACATATCATTCAGCTACATTAGGAATTCACTTAGGGAAGACTACAGAAACCTTGCTGGAGCCACAGTGACTCTCCTATCGAGCTGCTTTCGATTGGTAGCTGAACAAGACATCACTTTTATTTTTTTTCTTTATTATTTATTTTTATTTATTTATGTTTATTTATTATTTTTTATTTTTGATGCAAGCCTTCGTGCACTCATCCATGGTCTCAAACTGATTTTGATTGCCTTGGCAGCCTCCGTAGATGAACTCGAAGCATTTGTTTCCGGTTTTATCGTAGGTAAATTTGCGCAACGCCATCCGACAAATACCGACGACACCCGGCGGCTGACCGCAGGGAGTCTCTGCATGGAATTGGGAGTATTTATGTATATAAAATATGTATGTGTATAATTGGGTATCAACTGCACATCAGACGCTCACCGGCGGTGCTGGCACAGGACGCTCCACACAGTATCCAGAAGAGCAAAAATAGCTTCATTTAAACGCAGTTTCGTTTCGGGGCAACTCAAATGATGAAATGATCACTTTTGTGCTCTTAAATCTTATTTGCAGCATGTGACGGAACAAATCATATTTTGCATGATTGGTTTCGGCGTTGGAGTGGAGTCCCATGGTCATGCCTTGGTAAAAGAAAATGTTCTGGAAATATTACAAATTGATTTGAGCTTAAAATAATTTATGGCTTACAACGAAACCACTATAGATCCAAATTTTCTGGTCAAAGTATGGTAGATAGAATTTACACATGGGCTATGACAGCCGAGATTCTGTGCTCAATCCAAACTCATATATTCAATTAATTCTCAACGATTCAATCGATGGCACAGTTCCATTAAATTACATATTTAATAATTAAGTATTTGTTTCTAGTTTGGCCATTACGATACGTGGGCTATATTTGACTGATGCAAAGGCAAAGACCGAGAGCTGAATCTTCATATCTGCAATCTTAATATCACTGAATACATCAAGGCACTAAAAGTAATATGTTATACAGGCCATAAGCCAGCTCATCAATCAGATCTATAAGATTTTATGTTTCAGATATTCCTAATCTAATTGTACATAATTCGAAGTTGCGTTTTTTCAATGGCATCTATTATTTTATTATTTTTATTTATTTCTCTTTGTTTGATTTAAAATTGACACTGAATTTATGGAATGAAAGTTATCCAATGCACGTGTTCATCTGGCAGTTCCGCATTTAATTTGTCATGGAGCATTGATCCAAAGTAGAGAGACAAGTTCCCCCACAACTGATTGTTGCCATGGTAGCTACCAGATCGGTTAATTCTTTTGTGCTGGTTCGAATTTCGTTCGGTGTATGCTTGGTACCCGTGAACCTCGGCATTCCCCATGACTTAATTAGCGAATGCCGTGTCTCGGTGGCTCTCGGTGAATGGAGGCGACAACGGCACAAAAGGATCTGCAATCAATATCCAAGTGCAAGTGGGCGGGCGGGCAACGCCCTGGAATGCACCTCATTATGACAATGGCGAACCAGCCAACCCCTCCGGCAACCCCATTTACTCTCCCACAAGCTGGTCTCCTTCTTGTGGGTTTTCCAGCCACTGCAGCTGCGAAAAAAAAAAGAAAATGTCGCGTTGCAACAAAGTTGAGTTAAAATCTGCTGCTCACCTCCAGTCCACCGTCCCCGCCAGACTACACTTTCCATCTGCTGCCCTCCTGCTTGATAGTTTTCTACAGCTTTTTCTCGGTTCCTTCTTGTTTTCATTTCACAATTTTTATTTTATTTCATACTCGTACACACACATAGATCCGATGTGGTAGTGTCTGTGCAAGTCTGTCTGTATATTATATTATTGCAACGCGAACCAATAACCATCGAGCGGGCAGCTGGAGACGCTGACGCTTCAGGATGCCATTGGCTCTGGCTGCCCATCCTCGTGCCGGGACACAATGGCTGACCCGTAGAGTGTCCCTCCCACCGCCGCCCAACCCCCTGCATTGACCTGATTCACCTGTCCGCACCCAGATATCTTACGGATGCGACTGGGAATACAAAAAAAAAAAATGAAAATGAAAATAAATAAAAAAAGGCTATGGCAGGCAGTGTGGGTGTTGTCCCTCCCATTTACCCATTTCCCCATTTCACCATTTCCTTTTGTATTGTGGTTATGATAGCGAAGGTGCCAGCAAGTCGAGCGGAAGACCACAGAACCCGCCATCCGCCATCCGCCATCCGCCGCCCTGTCACATCCTTCTCCTCCGCCTCAGCACATCCTTGGGTGGCCGTATGGCAAGGGGGCCATTGGGGGGGGGTGTCCTGGCAATATAATTTATTGAAGTTCTGGCATTTTTCAAAATGAAATTCTTTTTAACGATGATTGAACCTCGTACGTGGGTGTATGTATGTCCATCCGTCTCTCTCTCTCTCTCTCTCTGCCTCTCTTGCTGAGTGGGGATACCCCTCTCACTCTTCTACACACTGTCCTTCCTTGGAATATCTTGGATCCATTCCATGCTGATGGGTTTTGCACGTTTGGCCTGTCCATTGAACGCCATATTATTGGTCGATTGAAAAGTAAAACATTTTTTATTATCAGCACGTGTGCCGTGCCACCCACTGACCCCCCACACAAGCACAATGTGCCGTTTTATGGCCAGGGGGGAGAGAGAGTGAAATGTGTGAAAGATAGCGGAGATGGGGGAGGCGGGATGGGGTCTAGGAGCAGGCTACTGGTGTGGGCGTGCCTCTGACCACCTGTCGTCCGACGGGGCATCCATAAAACTTTCGACCCAACAACTACCCTTGGGTGCGCCGCCTCCAGTTACAGCTTTCGCAGCACTCCTCGCACTCGCTCCCGCTCTCCTTTCTCTCTCTCTCTCTCTCTCTCTCTGTCTCTGTCTCTCGGGCAGGTGAGCTCATGGGTTTTATGATGCCCGACCCCCAGCACGACTGCGGGCGACCCACACCCCAGCCTCGACCCACTTTCGGTTCCTTCATATTTGATAAGCAAGTTGGTGGGTTCTTTTCTTTCCTTTCTTTTTACTGTTGCGCCCCATCAATATCCTTCAACTGCTCTCCGTCCTGTCTCCCTCGCTGCGCTTCTCTCTTTCTCTTTCTCCCTCTCCCTCTTCCTCTTACACTTTTATATTTCTCTCATTTTCTGCATCTCTCTTTCTCTTTCTATCTCTCTATTTCTTGCCCTTTCTCTCTCTCTGTGTGTGTGTGTGTGTGTGGTTATAAAAATATTTCATTCAATTTTTTATTTCTGTTTGGCGCTTGGCTTGGCCTCTCGCTCGCTCTGCTCTGCTCTGCTCCGCCTCACGTGCCTTTCCTTTCCTTTCCTCTGCATCTTCCTCTTCTCATTCTTCTTCGTTCTCTTCCTTTTCCTCCTTCTTCTGTCTCGCTTGCACTGCTCCGTTTTTATGTCCAGCGATTTATTTTGCCGAGCCAGCGGACCACACGGTTTCTCATTTTTTCTTTTTTTTGCTCTTCTACTTTTGTTATTTTTGCTGTCCTTTCTCTCTTCCTTTTCAGCGGCCACAGGTCGGCGGTGTCCTGTATACTTTCCCCATCCCCGTTCCCACTAGAGGGGGGGCACCCCGCCAACTCCTCCTTTCCTTCCTTGCAGCCGTCTTCAGCTTCATAATTTCCCGCCCTGTCCAGAGCATTGTTTGCTCTCTCTCTCTCTTTCACTCTCCCGCTCTGCTTTCACCTCCTGTGGGTGGCTAGGGGGTTTGTGGGTGTTTCGCGTCTCCTCCTCGAATATGTCTGCGGCCACTGCTCCTGGGTCCTGTCGCCTGGCTCAAGTCTCTCCTGGTCAAGGCGGTGCCTCGGCTGGGTTCGTTTCCCCTCGGCTCAGTTTGATTTGGTTCGTTTAGGCCAGGTCCACTGCCACCCTGCCTCCTCCCCCACTGCTGGCCATGTTTGTTTGCACTTCTATAACAATGTTAGCCAGTCCGCGCCTAGGCCATGTACTGGACTCGCTGGGCCCGAGTATGGGCTCCTGTTGGGGTAACTGCTCTGTGGCTGCCTCTAAAATATGATGTCATACTTTTACTACACACGCTTGGGGTGCTAAGACATAATAAAATGTTCATAAATTGGATATGCTATGTACAATGTACATAGGAATGTACATATGTACATTGTATGTACAGTTCTCAGAAGCTAATCCTACCGCTAACCAAATTATCGTTCATTTCAATTTCTGATTCGATTTCAAGAGGAGACAGGAAATAATCATAAAAGTAGCAAAATATATCCAATCTTTTCCCAAATAAATATTGGAGAGGGAGAGAGAGAGGGATCTTCTAAATTCGGATAAATATTCTTTGGATCCTGGTAAAAATGAAATTAAATTAAGAGAGAACATCAATTGGTAATCATGAGGTAATCCTCACAGCAGATGACTCCATTAGAGAGCATCGAATCGGCTGGGCTACGAGACGCGAATGGGATGTGGAAAGCAACCTGCAACTAATTAAGCTTAGGACCAAATTGAATCGGCAAAATAAGAGCTACTCAAATAAATATAACTATGTACATCTATGGGAAGTATACAGAATATACATTTGTGTGTACATATATGTATGCATGTGTTTATGGCTCACATAGTAATACGGAAACTTTTACATCCGTGTGTGGGTCCGAGAGTGTGGTGTGTGCTGGTGGTGGTGCTCTAGAAACAGGCACTCAGCTGGGCCAGTTCTCTGGGCCAGTGCTTGGCCAATTTATTTGTGCCATTAAAATTGTATGATAAAGCGGGTCCATTAATTGTGTTGCTTAATTTTCGTTTTAACGCATTTTATCAGGCCAAACAACGAACGACTCGTCGTATCCTTGGGACGCCAATGGGGCGGAGTTCTCCCCCCGCGCATAGACGAAAATAATGTCTTACAGCTGGACTAATGTGCTTTCATTTGTGGCACAGCGAAATCGATGGACTCTAGCCAAAGAGACGCTGATATGCTACATGCCACAGGGAACGCACGCCTCTCGGTGACACGAAGCTGATTTCTGTTGGAGCTGAAGATGAGTCTCCATCAAGATCAGTTCACCTTATAAAATATATTTACTTACTTGGGCATACATCTATGTATCATTTGATGTACGTGATTCAGTAATTTCTATGCTGCAGAATGAATTTATGAATTTCATAAGGGATACTGCTATGTCCGTTATACACATATCTATACTAAAATAAACTAAAGGATATATGTGATGATATGTGTGTACAAGTGGCAATGACCAGGAGCAAACGCATACTAGCTTAGGCGGGTTCGACGCTTACATATATGTATATATATAAATAAACATTTATTCCCCTATATACATACCCACATGCCATATAAGGCTGCTGCGTGGGAGGGGGTGGGGAGCACGAGTATATATGATTTTTATTGTTATTGTTTTGTCCCTTTTATGATGTTGCACGTATCGCAGTAACTTTCCCAGCATGTGTGGGGCGGGTGGGCGTCCTCGTGTATCTGTGTCTTGGATGTATCCAAGATAAATACAAACACACATGCCATGCACACACACACACTCACACACACTCACACTCACACATATATAAATGGAAGAAAAATCGAAAGGAAAAGGAAGAAAAAAATGAAACAATAACGAAACGAGAGACGCTGTTGAAGTTGCTCCTGAAATAAGCTCTCCGACCCACCCACCCACACTCATGCCACCACCCACCCAAACAGACACACACACACACACACACACACACACACACAGAGATATGTATAACCTTGTGTATACGGTTATAATTGGGTGGCATTGAGGGTGCCGCCGCATCGCCTTCGGATATGCGTGGGGTGGCAATCGCGCCTGACTTTGGATTTCACCCCCAAAAACTGCTTTCTTTTTTGGTTACTTTTTCTTTGCTTTCCTTTTCGTTCCTCTCCTCTTTGTTGATTTAAGCGACTCCAGTGCTAGGCTGTGTGGGTGTGTGTGTGTGTGTGTGTGTGTGGGTTTTTAAGGGCTGCTCTTGTTTGCTGACGACTCCCTTTACCAGAGTTTTCCCTCCCCCCACCCCACCGTACCTTGCTGGCGTCAGGGTTCCCACTGCCTGCTCCGTTTCCGTTGTGTTTGTGGTTGTAATTTGAAGCCAGAAACAACGGGGAGAGTAATGCAAGGGTTCG